CGAGATTTGGCGTTTTGTGATGCCGATATTTCCAAACTTTTTAAACACGATTTATGTTAACCCTAACGGATCTTTCATTGAAAAAGGCGTTTCAGCTTATACAAATAAAGTTGTGTAGATCATGCCGGGTCTCATGGCTAAACCCGATTTGACCTTTTTTGCGACAGGTAGATTTTCCGCAAAGCAAAATGAAAAATCGCTTTCAGATAGTGCATTCGACTCATCTTTCCATTATCTATCGAATGGGAAAACAAAGAACTTTCATAGCTTTTAAACTGAAATCTAAAATGTCGAGATACCGGTGGAGATTTTTGAGTTTGCGAGGCCGAAAAAATCATCAGAAATTGGAAAAATAAAATTTTATGAGGTTTATAGTTACTAGGCATTGAGTTGGGCAAACCGCATCTTGTGTGACCTGAAAGTCCATGTCGAATAGGTATATGAAAAAATGGAAAATATATGAAAGCGACTGTAGGGATTCGAGGTTAGAAAGAAAAAACGAGCGTGAAACAGGTAAAAACTGAAACATTCCCATCAGTATCTCGAAATTTTCGATTTCAATTTAAAAGCTATGAAAGTTTTTTGTTTTACCATTTGATAGATAATGGAAAGATGAGTCGAATGCACTATCTGAAAGCGATTTTTCATTTTGCTTTGCTGAAAATCTACCTGTCGCTAAAAAGGTCAAATCGGGTTTATCAAAATCTTTCAATCCTCCATCCTCCAAAATATTTTTGAAATTTGTCAACAATATCACGAGAAAGCCCTAAATTATACTATATATTCCATGAAAAATTTGAGGTTCACTACTGGTTTAGATAGGCAAAAGTTTAGTGTTAAACAGAAAAACGCAAATATCCAGATTTGGCGTTCTGCGATACAGATATTTCCAGACTTTTTTTAACTCGATTTATGCGAATCCTAATGGATTTTTCATTGAAAAAGGCGTTTCAGCTTATGCGAAGAACGTTGTGTATATTGTGGTACGGAATCCACGGAAACACCCATTAGTTTCAATATTTTTCAGTGCATCAGAAGTGAATTGTGATGAAAAAGTGAACCTTTAGTAGGATTTTGGTGTAAATAACACTTGGGCAACCAGCGTGAGACAGTAACTTGAGTAGGTAGATTGAGACAGTCCCTAGAGATAACCAATATGAGACAGTTTTAGCTCAAAGATAAAATTCTTCTTCGTTCTTTTTTTTACAAAGTCAAAACCTTTTTTTCGCAGTTGTTGAAGTTATTAGATTTCTTAATTCCTTAATATAAGCTTGGGTTGTCGTTAGTGGCTTTTATAATGTAGTACTGATTTAGCTCTGTTAGAAGCCTACCGGATACCTTGGGAGCCAAGGTATCCATTATGGCTAATAGCCGTTTCCTGCATTGTAGTTTGACTCTAGCAACTAGTTGCATACGTAATTTTGAAAAAAATGAAGGAACGAATCAAAACATACATAAACTATAGATATTAAACAATTGCACAGAAAAACAGCTGTATTAAGAGCAGTTTTTCGCGCCACCTATCGTCTGCCTTATAATTAGTTTATTTATTAGTCCTACCAGAAAACAAAGCATTGTTTGATTAATTATTTGCGGTGTTTTGTTGTAGTTTGAATAGCTGGCCCTATTACACTGTAAATCGTCTAAGCGACTTACAGTCAGACGTTTTTCCGACATATAATCCGAGTCAGAAAGGCGGCTGACCTCATGAAACAGTCAGTCATTGAACTGAGAGCTTTCAGTCGAGAACGTGTCTGACACGCGTATCGGTAACCTTTTGCAACCAAACATGTTGAACGAAACGTAACTTTTTTTCTATGTATCGAAGATTTGTCGCTTTTCCGAATGAGAAATATGCTCAGTCGGTGCCAGTCCGAAAGGTGATTGACCCGCTTGCGTCAGTTGCAAAAGCGATTTGCAAGGACTGACTATAAGTCGCTAAGACGACTATCACGATTTGCAGTTTAGGAGCTACCCAGGTCAAAGAATCTTGCTGTAAGATCTTATAAGATTCTTGTACGATTCCGTCTGATTTCATAAGATTCATATAAGAATTTGTAAGATTCTGTAAGAAACATAGAAACTGATTCTTGATATAAGATCTTATAGTAAGATTTCGTCAGATTCTTGTACGAATTTTATAAGATGAATCCGTTTCTATGATTTTTCGTAAGATTTTGCAAGATCTTGATCTGATTTTTTGACCTGAGTAATGAATAATACAAAATTTTTCGAACAAATGAGCAATGAGCATGAGGCGTGAAGTGCGCGAAAAGAAGGAGTTTGCTTGATCCTTCGTTTGTCGAAATAGATCCAGGCGGAGAATCTATTTCAAGGTTTTTGTATTTCTATTGGAGATTTTTGTATTTTGAGTCCGATCTATTCAACTTTTAACACAAATGAGCAGAGAAAAATGAAAAGCGAAATAGCAACACCTACTGTTTCACATGAGATTGAAAATTTTGTTCGGGAAACGGACATGGAACGTAACCTTATTTTCGAAAAATCAAATATCTATCCAGGGCTCAGCAAATTAAAATATAAACTACCCTCATCAAAAAAGAATCTAAAAGATTACCGGGCTCGAAATGGACTCAGACTCGGCCTGAACTGGCAAGGACTCCGACTCGGTACCCCCTGGACTCGCCCATAGCCGCATAGATCTCAAGGTAAATACGCATGGTAGTTGATTTTTTCCGCTTAAATCATTCTAAATTTCCTCGACAACAGATACACAATAACCATACTCTATACTGTAGATTTGTGTAAGAATGAGGATGTAATTATTTTGTACAAGTATCGTTCCTTGGCATAAGTCAACCGGTACTGCTAAATATCATCGAAAAATACTTTATCGAAATTTTTTTACTGTACGGCGTGGTTATGAAGCTTCACCCATGAATTAGTTTCAAGAAGTTATTTGATGTTTTAATGTTGAAAAGGAGCCATTGTTCAAAGTTTCGAATGAATGAATTAAGCGATAGTGACCTGATCTAATAATCAATGCTCAAAAATTCAGTTTAACATAAGCGTTTGTAAGGAGTGAAAACTAGAGTCATATTTTCTTGAAGATTTTATATTACTATTTCTTATGTCATAAAAATGGTGATTGGTAAAATATCCTTAGAAGCTTTATTCTTAGTGAATAGTAAGTTACATTTGATCATGTGTGATAAAGGCTGAACGTTTTTTTCTCTATTTTAGGATTTTCATATACTAGTTTTAAATATTTTACTCGTCGAACAATTGTTTCAAGTATTGGAATGGATTCAACCGGCAGAGCGACACGGCCTACTTGGAAAAAACTTCTTGCTAATCATGCTCCGTTGTTGTTGCCAGCTGCTCATGATGCATTAACAGCAAGAATTTTGGAGCGAGCTGGTTTCAAAGCCTATCAGATCGGTGGTTTTGCTTTAAATGGTGCACGACGTAAGTGTTTAAGAAGTTACTCTATGACGAGTTTCTTGAATCGAACTTGAATATTTCAGATGCTTATCCAGATCTTGATCTAACGCATTTTGGAGAAGAACGTCATGGATTTTATGACATCATTGCAGCTTCATCATTACCCGTAATGATTGATGCTGATGATGGCTACGGTGATGTGAAAAATGTTACAAGAACAATTAGGGGATATGAAGCTCTCGGTGCATCAGCGTTATTTTTTGAAGATCAGCAAGCGCCAAAACGATGTGGTCATCTTGTAGGTAAGATTAATTTGCTCAGTCTTTAGTCGAACAGAAAATACTACATAAAATGAAAAGTTCTACTTATGCATCACAATATGTTCTTTCAGACCTTGCTTTTGAAACAATTTAGACAACATCTGACTATGTATTTTTATAGGTAAACATCTTGTACCTGTTGAAGTCATGGAGTCAAAAATTCGTGCAGCACTATCAGCACGTTCTGATTCTGATTTCTTTATTATTGCTCGAACAGACGCCATCGAAGCATATGGCGTTGATGAAGCTCTGTATCGTGGTGAACGATACTTGAAAGCGGGTGCCGATGGATTGTTTATCGAAGGTCCAAGGAGTGTAGAAGAAATTGAACGTATTGGACAAAATTTTAAAGGTGCATCGCTTTGTGTTAATATATTTGAAGGAGGCGGTCGCACACCATGGGTATCACCAGAAGAACTACATAGAATGGGATTTTCCATGATTCTTTATCCCACAACAATTTTATTTAGTGTCACATACGCCATTGAACGAGCTGTTATGGATTTGAAAGCTGGTAAACAGTTGTCATCGGAAAACAGTGTGAATTTCAAGACATATGAAGACATTGTTGGATTACCTCAATGGGAAGAAATTGAGAAAAAATTTCATCATGAAGAATAATGAATAAATGACTATGATTTGAAGGCATCCATAAATTTCTTTCTGTGCTCAGTTGTATTTATAGATTCCTTACTCATTGCAGGAATTAATTATTTCGTCTTACGATGGATATTTTTTCTTAGTAATATGCTACAAGCATTGATATACAGATCAGATATGTTTTCTTCAAATCTTAGGCTTTTTTGTGGAAATAATTCAAATGCCACTACAAAGGAAAAGTTTTCAGAAAAATTCTTGACAAGCGTTTGATTTTGTTTTCGAAGTAAGATGGATGAAAGGAGACAGAATCAAATAAATTTTTGAGAGAACTCGAAAAGGATGGGAAACGGTTCCTGTAAAAAAAATGCTCTGATATGATTTGAGTGAAAATGATTTCTTTTTCACTTCTGACTTCCAAAAATTACTTCTGATTTCGTTGAAAAAAATATCTGTTATCATTTTTCATCACCATTTGAACAAAAGTCATTCACTTTGCTCCTCAAATTGCTGAGTGCATGACCAAGCTCACACATAGGAAGATAGAGATATTTCTAGACTTCAAAATGAGCTAAAAAAATAAGATTTTCAAAAATATGCCCATACAAGCAAATTGACAAAATACTATAGGTCTTTCGTGGAATATTATTTTGGGGTTTTGAAGACCCTGAAAAGGTATAGTGCAGAATGAGAAAGATTTTGTGTTATCGTTTGTTGTTGTATGTTGATGTGCAGGTGATGTATAAGATTGTGATAGTATACTATCACAATTCAGTTTCGCGACACTATAGTGTCTATTCACAGTTACACAGAAGAACATTGCCCAACTACAGACATAACAAATTATACCTCAGTTATACCTCAAATTATAACTCAGATATGTGCAACATCAGCTTTAATTAGAATAAGCTTCGATCAAGACACAAAACGGTCGAATCCTACTGGTCTTACATACAATGTTCTTAGTCTTCCATCGAAGAAAGTTGCTATGATTGTAAAATTGGAAATGGACTGTTGGTATGTGTTCGCACAGAGCATCCGGAATCTAATACTTGGCATAATAATATCAACTCAGCCAAAAAAGGCAGCCCGTTACACTATAATCTTGAATTAATTTCCAGTTTATAGAAAATCGCCGGGGATCCTCTAGTTTATAGAAATTCCTCGACAAAGTTCCAGCTTTCTAGGAAATGTTGATTTTCCATAAATTCGATTTTCTATAAACTAGAATATCCTCGGCGATTTTCTAGAAAGTGGAAATTCGTCCAGGAATTTCTAGACCAAATACTTATTCATCCTTTTGTTTTGCAATCAGTGTAGATATAAGAGCGTCACGTAAAGACACTCATATTACATTTAAATCAACTTTGACAATTTCTACTTTGAAACACAATTTTGCCTATGCCAACAAGAGTTTTGATTTAGGCAGAGACAGTGGTGGCGCGAAGTTTTGGTAGGAAGTTCCGAAAATCGGAGACGTTCATCAGAAATTTCTCAAAAGCATGAGCGGGATCAACCCCCATACAACCTGATCGCGCCGCTACTCGGTGCAGATCCGCCAAGGAATTTCCAGTTTATAGAAAATCAAAAAAAAATTTCTGCTTTCTTGAAAATTATTTATGAAAATTCAACAAGGATTTTCTAGCTTGTTGGAAATTCGATTTTCTATAAACTGGAAATTCATCGGGGAATTCCCATAGGTACTCTTTAAAATTCACCGAGCATTTTCCATAAATAATTTCCAACCTTACAGTGTACGTTTTGAAATAATTCTAGCTCCGCAACGAAATAACGTAATAGCCTGGGCAATGTCTTATTTTTCAGAGTAAACTGTCTTCTTTGATATGACAATCAAACGAACTCTCATGAGCATTTGCCGTTATGAACATATATGGCCGTTATGATATCCATGCATTTTTTTCCATAACAGGAAAACATGGATTCTTTCTTCGCTGGATTCTCTTTTCGCTAGCATTCGTTACTGTGCTCATCACGGTGATAATGAAACAGAGGTCAGAGTCAGAATTGCTAAACTAGCACACCCTGAATTAACATTTAAATGTACAGAAAATGAAATGAGAAAAGATGTTATTAACGAAACGATAAGTGATGTGATTAAAAAACAAAAGGGACGTCTATAATATACTAATTTAACACATCCGTAAAAGGATACTGGATGAATTGATATGATTACTTTGAATTACTTCACTTTACCATTTTAGTAGCCATCATCATGAGATCGCCTGCTTTAGACTGTACATTAATAATATGTATTAATAATAGTTTGAATGTCGGTTTTATTGTGGGATTTCTAGATTCTGACATACGAAGTTGAAAGCGGGCAAAAGGTTACTCGTAAGGCGATCGCGATAATCCGAACTTCGCAATTGTTTACATGTCGATCACTCGTTCGGTTATTTAAACACGTAGAGCGGTAATCGAGGCTCGTGACCGAACATCAGAAAAGCCCTAGATCTCCAGTACTGTCATTTATCGCTGTTCGCATAGCAAAAACTAACTGTGGAAGTTTTATATCTCAATTACTACGATCTTTATATGCGTACCCCACTATTACCGTTTTTAACGTATTATTAATCCGCTCTGATAGATTAATTTGCCGATGATGGAGAGATGTTCTATTTGAAGAAGACGTAAGGTTTCTTCTAATATTTCTGAAACAACTTGCGATCCATCATCGGAGATGATCTTAACTGAGCATCGAAGACGACAAATAACTTCATCGTGAAGTATCTGTATTATACTGATTGAACACGTATTTTACAATGGAAATAATTCCACCCATTTTGTGAAGTAGTCTACGACTACCAAAATGTATTCATTATCTCTTTTTGTTAGAGGTAATGGACCATGATATTTATGCCAATAGTATACCACGGTTCATGCACTACGTTCGAGATCATCTTTGGAGCAAGCTTTTGAGTTTTAGCTTTAAAACGCTGGCATGTATCACAACTATGAATATAATTTTCTATATCCTTTCTCATTCCCTGCTATTAAAGGCGGATATGCAAGCGATGTAGCTTTCTTCTCCTGGTGAAATGCCTTGAAACTGCGAGATCATGTGTGATATACAATAAATTTCTAAATTTTTGATTCTGGAATGATTAATAAATGTTGATTATAATTAAATCGATTCGAATGTTCCTCATCAAATCGTCGTAGACAATAGAGTCTACCATCGATTAATTTATAATCCTTCTCGATTTTACTTTTCTTTGAAGGATAATATTTTCATCTGATGGTAGTATTCCACCATGCAAATAATCAATTAGGGGTTGGAGTTCTGTATCCGTCCCGCTACGCTTGTTTTATATCATCAAGGACACTACAGCTATTCCACACATTTATAGTCAGTCTAGCAAATAGTAACTCCTTAGGTGTTTGATAAAACTCACATACTGTCAACTGCGCTTTACTTATTGCTTTGGGTGTATCTGACTACTGTTCAACAATTATGCATCTCTCGGTCGGGTTCGGTCAGGTTGAGCCGTTATGCCTGTAGTTAACATATGTCACTATAACTCTAGGTCAGGCTAGATTCAGTCGTCATGTGTGTCTCACTAGTGATCAGCAGTTTTTGTCTATGACTTTGTTCAGTTTTGTGAAAAATGAATTTTCTCACAGGTACTAGTGTTTTATCGCTCATTTTTGATAAACGACTATTCCACATCAGTTAAGTTGAGTATTAAATTTTTTTATGCCATCAGATACAGCATGTTTTGAAGTATATTTAGCACTATTTCAATCGATGATAAGTCGACTTTCGTTTTTGCACCTAATGTCCACCTGGATGTTTGTTTTTTTATACCTGGATTTTTGTTAGTTTATGTACGGAAGATGTCATTGGCGGAAATGATTTCTGATTATCAATATAACACATTGTACATATCGACACATGATACTCATTTAATTCAATAGCTTTGTTACTATCAGCATAAAGTCAGTCGCCAGATTTAGATTTTGCTACAGCGATACAAGAATGCTTTTTCCTCCTTAGACAAAAATTTTTAATTCTTTGTTAATTTCACCCTTATTTCGCTTATAGAAAACCCGAAACAATCAGTCCCAAAGAAAAACATTCAACCTATACAAAATGAGATCTCTGTTAAGCACAATGATGATAGTTACGACCAGTGAATACATTGTTGCCTGCATTGGTCCATTCTTTTCGGATTATTCGAACAACGATACGGCAATGATAAAAAACATTTTATTAAAAAAATTTGGACAATATATTGAAATTGATTGAAGAAGTATTTAACATATAAATTAATGTAAAATATCTTGTTTAAGTGCTAAAGCCTTTTAGAGAAGCTGTAAATGCACGATTAAAAAATTAAGATTTGTTTAATAAAACAGTGCAAAATTTGTCGCTACGGTTTGTCGGAGATTACTTTTCGATAGTCCGCGCTTTGATAAATTACTATCGAGAACCAATTGCAATGCTGAAACCTGAAGATCTTGATATTAGTGGAATAATACTGTCACTTCTCGATCAAAAAAATTAAGTTCAATCGGTAGTAAGAACTTACCAATAGTTTACTATATTGTACATTTTCAGTTGATACAACAACACTATTTATCTCGAATTTCTCAATGGGAAAATATTGATTTAATATTACTCTTTTCAATATTCCCATTATTATTCGAAGAAGAGATAGGAGATACAACTTTAGATAACACACGACAAAAGTCCTCTTATTCCGCAAACCTGGCCTAATTTGACTATTCTAGAAGTATTTCAGTTCAGGCGTGCAAGATGATATGCCGAAGTATATTTTTCGCCCATATGTAAAGTACATCAAATCCATGAATAGTGGAAAAATTTCAGAGGGAGTCAATTTTGCCTCGTCCGTCTCCTTTAATACTACGATTAGGCATGCACCAGTTTTTAACTGGTATTGGGGCATCCGGGACAATTGCTACAAATCAGTTACCACGATTCTCTGAGAGCTGTAAAACATCTAATTTTGTAGAAAAATGTTTGCTCTACAAAATGCATTTGTTAAAAGAATTCCAGAATCATTTCTAAGAAAACTTACGTTAGAGCATTCTAAAATGTACTAAATTACGAAAAAAA